GTCTTCCTGGTCTGCAGGGAGACAGGGAGCAAAGCCTTGGAGGCTGTCCCGCTGCGGGTGTGCTCCGCGGCTTTGCTCTGCGTCTCCCTGGTCTGCTTTCCCCCCCCAGCAGACCAGGAAGACATGGAGCAGCTTTTCTCACCCCGGAGGACGGGGGTGGTGGGACTGCAGCGCATCTGGGCATCCCGCCGCTCCAGTCCTCCGGGCCGAGAAAAGCCCCGTTCGTAACTGCGTCGGATCTGCGTAACTCGGGGACTGCCTGTACAAAGTTGTCCCTAAGTCAGTCCCTTATTAACAATGGGAGACTAGAGTCCCTTGAATACAGTATATTTTAAAAGTTCTAGGTGTGAGTCTACCATCCTTACTCAGATGAAAAATCTCTCTCTCCAAAAGTAGTGCCATTAAATAAATGTGAATACTTGCAGATTAAGGTACTGCTCAATGTAAGAGAGTCAGAATCAGACCCTGTCTGGGTGTGTATTTTAATGATAAAAAGAAAGATTACATAATATGTAATATATTACGTTACAAAACACATAGCTCTTATAAAATATTTATAGAGATTTATAAAGACTTTATTGAGCAAAGCAAATGAATCATATTTTAAAATTTGGAGCCTCTGTTTGTCTTTTGCATTTAATTTCCATATTTCTAAGAAAGGGTCAGGCACTTTATTATTAATTACTATATAACCCTGCAGAAAAACACAGACCTACTTTCAGGCAGCATGAAAGAGTCACAAAACCATGCTAAAAGGAATATGAAAAAACCCACAACTATTAAAAGACTGGAAACACAAAAGTGCAGGGAGAATAAATATCTGTGGAGTTCCATGAGGATGTGATAATGACTAAAGAGATCAATGTGAGCCAAGGAAAATTAAAACTGAATATCAGGAACACTTTCCCAACTAGTAAATCCTATTTGAGAGTAAAATAGTCTCCTAGGAGAGGTAGTAAAAGTCTCACTGTTTTGGAAGACATAAAATCAGACTGTACACACATGGGAGAAAACGTGCATTGGTTAGTGGAGGAACTGGGTAGCCTATCAGGTTTTATCTCTTTTGAATTTCAGTGCTCTAAGGGTCCAACAAACAAGGAAAATAGGAAAGATTAAAATTAGGGAACGGGATTAAAACTTTTTGGGATAATCTGTTCTTCTCCAAATGGCCACTCACTCTCTTTTCAAATCCCAGGTGTAACTCCATTATAAAGCAATAAAAATTATGTAAGATAACACAGTCCTTTGTCTCGGTGCACTTTTTTGTATAATCTGTCTGTTTTCAGTTGTAAATTACCCTCAGAGCAAGGGCCTTATTTTCTTCTGTGGGTTGCCTCGTGCCAGTTGTTCTACTAACAGTTGAAAAAAATAACATAATAATCATGCCCTTCTCTCTGTAACAACATCATGTATGCAATGTAATAGACAGTTTTCTGGGATTTCTATGACACAAGGGGAGAGAGAGGCAGAAGGAGATGAAGTATTGTGCAGGAGATTGTGTATTACAGTAACTCTAATTCTCCTTAGTTTTGAGTGTGAACCTGAGTCCTCCACATGCAATACACTGATTTCAGTTGAAGTTCCACATATGAGGAACTTACAGATTGGGACCTTGAGGTTTTGTCTGTACTTACATGAAGATCAACACTCTGGAGATCGATCTTCTAAGGTTCGATTCAGAAGATCTCATAAGGATCCACTAAATCAACCCCTGTACTCCACAGGAGTCATGAGGAGTAAGGAAAGTCAACGGGAGAGTTTCTCCTGTTGACACCCCCCCCCGCCACCATTCTCCCCAGAAATTTGGTTTAAGGCACGTTGACTCCAACTGTGCATCTCAAATTGAATTTCTTCCGTAGTGTAACCTGCCCTGAGTTAGCATTGAGTTAGCATTGTTTTATCCGTGGTGCAAGTAAACACAAGTTCTTATAGGCAGTGAAGAAGGGGGAGGGCAGACCAGCTAAAGAGTGGGCATGTGACCTCCCCACGTGACCCCCACTTGACTCCATGCCTCCCCCCCAGGATCCTTACATTCTTCCCCTTCCCTCCCCTCGCCATCACACATTACCGGGGGGAGAAGGGCCAGTGTGTTGTATGGTAGCTGGAGGAGCTGCTCATGGTTCTGCTCCTTTCCCCATTGCCTCTCAGCAGGGAAAGAAGCAGAACTCCCAGCTCTGCCCCTCTAGAGATGTGCCACTCCTCTGTGTACAGGGCTGTGGGAGGGGAGCTGGCAATGCTGCTCCTTTTCCTTCAAGGCAGGGCAACAGGGAAAGAAGCAGAATGTTGGCAGCTCCTGTGGGCCTGCATCTGTCATCACATTCACAGTCCTACCCTGAAGTCCCCAGCCCTGCACACAGAGATGTGGGCCAACGAAAGGGATGGGGGATGGCCAGCGGGGAGTCTTTCCAGTACGCCACACTGGCTAAAACTAACTTGTCTGTAGGGCATACCAGACTGGACTGGCCCACGTGCTCCACTGGTTTTAATAAAGCATTTTAAAATAGTTTGATTTTTTGTATTTGATATTATATGTAATATGAATCCATTATGCCCAAACCTCAGCTGGTGTGAATCCCACAGCATGAGGTTCTGGCCTGCAAGATCATTTATTCAAGACTTCATAGAACTGGAGATTCATTGCCACTTTCTGCTCAGTTCACATGCTACAGCTGCCACTTCCTCTTGAGACATGAATAAGGATAATAATTGCTTTCCCCTACCTGGTAGTCCATGCTCTCCTGGTTCCCCTTTCTGACCTGACACAGGGGTGCAGCAATCACAGCAATTAAAAAAGAAATCAGCAGTGTCAAGAGTAAAGTTTTCAAAAGGAAAGAGAGTGGTGGCCGTTCTGAAGGCCGAGTTCAGCGTGGATAACTCCACTGGCATTTCACTTGTTTCCGATATGTCTGTGACAGGACTTTCTTCAGTGGGTGGCACAATGGATGTGTCAAAGCCATCAGTGACCTCCATCTCTGGAGACTTTATCTTAGTAAACTTTACAGGCAGGGTAGCTTTCGCCTCTGTGCGTACAACTGCAGCAATAAGTATAATGAAGGTGGCGCTGTGCCAAGGTAAATGCCACATTTTTGTAGCTGTAAGAAAAGATTAATGAAATAATAAAGCACTGCAGCAGGTTTCTGGTATTAGCAATTTCCCTGTAAGGTTCATTTGTTTTGCATTTGTTGTTGCTTTCCCTGCACTTCTCACTGTTTGCCTTTTAAAAAAAAAATCCAAGAGAAGCAGCTTGACACATAAACAACAAAAAGCAAAAGAGCAAAACGTAAAATGTTTGTCAACTAGGCAGGTTTCTTCTTAATTAAAAACAGCTCACAGCCCTAATCTTGTCAGTTGATCTATGAGGAGAGGCCCTTTTATCTGCAAAGAGCCCCACTGATTTTATTGGGGGTCCTATACAGCTACCAGGTCTCTCTGCATAGCCCAACTTACCATATCAGCAATAGGTGACATGTGGAAAGTAAAAGAAATTAAGAGTTCCTGCTTCACAACTCTGCATTATAATGAGTAGATACATTTCTGTTGTAAAGAAACCCAAAATGACAGCACTGCTCGATGCCCAGCTCTCAGCCAACAGCTCTAGAAATCTCTGAGGTTTCAAGTGGGACACAATAGGAGGATGTAGGTTTTGTCTTACTGCAAGAATTATCTTCGTAATACATAAAGAAAGCTTCAACACCACACAGTCCTGTTAGATGGCCTGTTAGACACTTTCTATGCCATCTCTAATGTGAAAATAAAGTTTATTGAAGGTTTTTATATCTCATTATTCTTCTGCTTAGCAACCCAACCGAAGCCAACAGAACAAAGTGAAGTATCAATAATCTGAAATCAATCAAAACCCATCTTTCTGCTTGAAATCTAGAATGGTGACACTAACAAAGCTTATTCTGTTTCAAAAGATTTGACCAGAATGAAATTTTCTGTATCTAAAACAAGGAATATTGTCTGGGGCTAGCAAACTGGCCCTCTGATGTGACCAAGCCTAAGGTGTTGCCATCATTTGGGCTCTGTCATCAAATCCCAGTTCCTAATATCAAGAGATGGCATGAGAATTCAGGAGCTTTAAGTATATTTTCTAGCCCTTGTGAAAAGTCTGAAAATTGAATATCCCACCCCAGCATTTGCTGAAGGCAGGGAGGAGTTGGCACTAGCGGTTGCAGGGCAAGAAGCTGAAGCCTGCCAGATATGTAACCACAGCTGGATATAGGTGGGTCCCAGTTCCCTGCAAAAGAAAAGAGAGAGATGCCAGTAAGCTATAGCTAGGGAAGCTGCAAGAGAAGAGGAGGAAATATAGGCAGAAGCTTGTATAGATCTGAAATCATGACTTACCCCTGAAATGCTGAATCTCCTAGAGAAATAAATAATTTTGCTCTTTTAACTCCAATAGCAAAAGTTGTTTGTCCTGAATAAGCCACTGCCTTACCAAAGCCACTGCATTCATAGAAGCTTTGGTACCTCTGTCAGGTTGCTGAATAAATCAGCCTTCTTCAGACAACCAAGGTGGGAAAGGCAAATGAAGAAGGAAGCAGATACCGGAGAACTCTACTTTTGTATTAGCTGAGCACTTAGGACCAATTCTCTTCTCAGTTACACTAGGGCTGCCCCACTGACTGCAATGTGGGTTAGATGAGTATATGTGAGCACAGAAATTGCCCTGTGGCTTGTGTGCAGAAGATAAATCCATGTATTTACACGAGTGCTTCCTTCTTCCAAACATTGTCTGATTTGGCAAAACACAATCACTTGATTAGTACCATTGATTTCAGCAGGGACTCTTCCAGTAGAATTCACTGAGATTTCAGTGGAACTACTCTTATTATTGGGGATTTTCAAGATCTAACCCATAAACCCAAGTGGGGACAAATAATGGACTTGAACCCCAATTCTCCCTGCAGCTTTTCCAAGACCTAATAACCCCACTATATTTCTCATAAAGTTTAGGAAACATCTGGTGTGAGGGATGGAGGATTAAGACATGAAGGGTGGCTCCAAGAACGTGGAAAAGGCAGATTCTGAAGTGTGTGGTATACTGAAAAGATTAGAGAGCATTTCCTTATCTTTCATACAGCTAATTGCTTAGGCAAAGAAGGGTTGCAAACATTTTCATAGTGTGGATCACATTTCAAAAGAGAAATATCTTGTGGGCTCCCTCTTTCTTTTCAGTGGTTGTGTTGACCACCTTACATCCAATTGATTAATATGAAGACTACCTCCCCTCTCGCTAAATAATTGTATAATATTGCAGTGATAACTACAGAAGTTACTTAAACTGAAAGCTAGCAGTAGGAACACCGTTGCATATTTTTTTACGGTCCTCAATAAGAGATTCTGGCTACAGAAAATTCTCATGAAAACAAAATTCATTTTGATCTAATTTTTCTATGGAAAATTATAATTTTCAGCAGACATTTTAAAACTGAATACTTTAGCTGAAAACTAAAACATTTCAAAAAGAAAGTGTTGTGTGGTACCTTATGGGAATTGTAGTTCAGGTGCCTCATGCTCCCCTTCTCTTCTATAGGCTGGGCTTCCTAGTCAAATTACAATCCCCAGGATTCACCCCAATGTTCCCCTCTTGGGAAGGGATGCACTGCATTATGGGAATGCCCATCCCCAGTACATCGTAAGACCATCAGCTGGCCACTAAAAGCAGGCACGTTGTATGAAAAAATTCAGTTAATCAAAAACCCAATTTTCCATCAAAATATAGTTTAGACATTTAGAAATATAGTTTAGAACATTTGCAACCCGTTTCACTATCTAGGTTGACAGGCTGCCTCACCCTTCCATTTGTTCTGTTAGTCTAACTGCAAACCTGGAGGAGAGCCAGCATCATGTACACAGTTAGCACCTCCCAGATGACCAGGCATCTGCCAACCACAGTTTAGGAACTCCTGGCCTACATGATGCAATTCATGTGTAAATCCTAAAGCAATTACATTTTAATATTATATTAAGGGCAAGAAAGACTTTGGGTCTCACTCTAAGGAGCAGTGTGTAGCTATATTGTCCCAAGAGTAGCCAAAAAGGGAATTGTGAATCAGACTCTGTTCCTTTGTTGGTTCCCACTTGCTCCAGGAGAGCAGGAATCTGTTGCTGTTTTAGGTCGGCTGTTGGCATGTGGGCAGGAGGGCATCAGCATTAAAACTCTACCCATTCCCCACTCTACCTGGCCACCTAATCTGGTGGAGAATTAATAGACACACAGTACTCTGTACCCTCAGAGGTTCATTAGGAAAGGATTCTTAATCTACCCTTATTTCCCTGAGTGTTGTCTAAAAAGATAAAACTGTCTAGATAATGAAATGCTCAGAATGTTTATTTGGAGCAGTGAGTAAAATTCCAATCATGTAGCTGAGGGTAGCATGCATACCTCAAGGGACAATCGCTGTCTACTGTGTGAGTATGTCTTCTCTGACAAGGTACCTCACAACTCACCTAACTTCAGCACAACTTGGAGCCGTTCTTCACCTCACAGAAGAGGCATTGCAGATCTCGGCCCACAGGTAATGTTGCAAAACCTCCTCTGATCATCCCCGTGGAAATAGCCCAGAATTGCAGAGCGTAAGTGCCTCTTAATGCCCTTCTAGTCTCAATGCAGTAAGTGGCTGTGTGCCAAGAAACTGATCATAATACATTTACCTCAAAGCAGCAGGTTCAGCACGAGCCAAGAACAGAACAGAGAGCAACTGTTTCTAAGATGTTAGCAACAGGTTAATGCAAGATGTAAAAGGTCATCCGCCACTTCCTTTTTCAGGATATCCTGGCTATTTTATACTCCAAATGACTAAGAACAATCCATGGCTTTGTACAGAGCGCTGTAACTCAGGCAATTAGAAAAGTAATGGCTTCTGTGGTTCATTAGAGCAGAACATCAATTTAAACACTTGGCAAGATGCTTTGGAAAACCCATGACCTACAAATGCTACAAACCTGCAACCAGAACAGCAGGACAATAGCATTTACACCGTCCGGTTACTCCTGCGGGCTAGCAAAAAGAACAGAACAGTAGTATCTGAATTGTCAGGTCATTTTCTGTGTAGCATAGGAACATCATAAATAAAACATGAAAAATAATATCTGTAGGGTCTAGCTTCATCCCACAAAAGTGACGAAATATCATGTCACTTGCTGACAGTCTGTCTCTTAGGCATGAGTCTGGGAACACAAAGGCTACAATGTGCATAAAACATAAAGCACTTGATTAAATTTTTAATTCCCTGACTTTTTTCAAGTTAGACATTGGACAACTTTCAATGCAGTTATTATAATGAGAAAACCAAGATCTATTATAATAAAGATTAAAAGCACCTACCATAAAATCCTGGCCCTCTGAAATCAATGGAAAAACTCTCTGATTTCAGATGGGCAGATTTTCAGCCCCTAAAGTATCAGAAGGGATATGATTTGCATGCTTCAGGGCAAAGCCAACTCTGAGCTATTGGACATTAGGGAAAAAAGTGTAACACATTTTTTCCCCCAATTGTCTAAAACAGTTACCTGCACCTTTCTCTGCAGCAACTGATTCTGTCCACTGCCAGAGGCAGGATACAGGGCTAGATGGACAATCGTGCTGATCCACTCTGGCAATTTCTGCTTACCTATAAAATGTCAGTATCAGTGGTGTTTTCTTTTTTTATTTCTTATTTAAAAAGCTGAATGGCATGAAATATATTTAATTCATTGCCAAAATAGCTTAATTATGCCAAGTTTCCAGATTTTAGCCTAATAACTTAACTATCATTAGGAAAAAAAATTTAATTTTTCAAATCAAAATCATTTAAAAATTTGATAGCCACAAAGATCTTATATTTGAGTGGCCAAATTCAAAATAATAGGTTTACATGATAACATAACATAATATAAATACAAATAAAATAAATTGCCTTCATGCTCTGAGATCATATATGTTTCAACTAGTGGTGAATTTTAAAATCTAAGCGTTATACCATTGAAAATAGGACTGGTAATTAAACTATTGAACCCTGAGTTTCACTGGGCATTTGTTACTAATTTGTAAATACATTGTAATAAAGGTGAAATGGTTCATTTTTCATTACATTAGCTTTCTTTC